ACTTAACTCGACAGAGACAGTCGTGATAAGTAGTATTCAATACTCAGTTAAACAAGTCACTGCAACAATATTATCTTCTTGCTTTCCAGACAATTACCCAGGACTACTTATCATGAATGGATCAGTCCATTTATGACAGAAAGGAGAGTAACAGGCTCTTACCACAAAATTTTGCGTATCAGGAACTGCCTTTTTTCACAAATTCTAAAGTCCTTTCCGTTTAGTGACTTATTATTACGTTTGATTAAATATTGTATAATATAAGTAATAATAATTATCATAATAACTTGTACTAGCAATATAACCTGTCTTCGACCGGGTGTTTCATTACTGGGAATTTTTGTCGTTCAATTGGTGCAGTTTAAGTTTAAAGTCAGTCCACTCGAAACTCAATATTAGTAACAACAATTGGGTGCAACTGAGACACATCCCCAAATGGGGGCGGGTAACAATTTGAATGGGAGGTGGCCCTGAAAAGGGCCGTTTTTGCCTTCTCAATCTTGCAAGGAAGGAATCTCTTGTATGGACCGTCATAAGAATAATATACGATAATTTTTATTTATAATTTATTTCTTTTTATAATTCTAATAATATTTTGCGTTAGATTTCAACTCTCTAAATTGATTGTATGCTGTTTTTTACAGACATTAAATTTTGCGTTTGATATTTGCGCAAACTCTAAAAAATCAATTTTTTTCGATTTTTCACCTTCAAGGTTGTAATTTTTCCAGCCAATTTGGACTCAAAACCGGCACTGAAGAATTATCTATCAAACAAAACCAAATTTCATCGAAATCGGATGAAAACTGTGGAAAGGCATAAACAACATCCGATCACACACATGCATACACACATTTTTGAGAATTATAGATATAGATTGCAATTACAAATGAAAATATGTGTATTTAATAATAAAATTGATAATATTGTCACCTCATCATTTTGTATCATGAAGTGTTTTTAAATGAAACCGAAAGGATTTATGGGTGGTCTAATTTTAGTTAATTTTCAAAGTATATTTGATATTACTGTTTTTAACAAAAGAATGAAAAAGAACAAACATCGTAACGTTCTTCTAAGGTGAATTTTCATTTCATTTCAGTGGAGGGCTTGAGTTATTCACTTGAAAAAAAAATTCGGGCGATGCTTATTTTGAAACTGAAAAAAAAAAGGCGGGAAATAGTAACAAGAAATTCAGACCACCTCGTTTGTATTTACTTAGCAAAATAAAAGAGGTGAAAAAGAAGCTGTACATTCATAGGAAAAGTCATGTCGGAAGAGGGTTTTTTTTTCTATTTCTCTGTTTGTTATATTTTGTTCGCCTTTGTTTTTTCATTAACAAAAATTCCAGGATTTGCGGGCCGTGTAACTTATATCGGCACAGATTGTGGATTCATGAACAAGGTTCAAATTCCGGCCTGGGGTGTCATATTCACGTTTGCACTTGGAGAATGGTATAAATCCATCACTTTTCTCCAGACGAAAAAGTAAAAAGTCATGTTTAAATTCCAGGTTAGTCTGTTGCGTTAATTTCCATGCAAATGGTAATATTAGACGTTTCCCTATAAGGAAACATTTGGCATTCATTAACTGATCATCCAGTACTGTTTACGGTTTAAATTTATAAAACATTTATCTTAAAACACTTTATTAGGAAAACATGTTTCTCCAGTCCAATAGCTGTTATCGTTCTTTTCAGTATTGATAGGTTTTCCTTCCGAAACTTTTATTCGAAGTGGTTTGAAATGTTAACATCTTAATTAGGTCATTTTTTCGAGTTATATATACTATCCCTTTTAGTTGTTGCTGCTCTTGGTAGTCCTCAAGTGATGTGGTTTCTGCTATTTGGTACAGTTCTTAGTTTGTGATTCTGTAGCGCCAGTCCACAATATTCAAAGAAGGATGATCTTTGCCAATATTCTCAAGTTTCACTCGCTCAGTCTTTTTTTTTCCGTTGATCTTAAAAAGCAGTTGTCTACAGGTGACAATTTAGACATTTCTGAACGGGTTTTGCGCCAGGCATGGCATCCATATGAAAGTTTCGATCTGACGACGCTATTTAAAAACATGAGTTTTCAAGTTAATGTTTTGGTTTCGTAGCAGTGTGAAGTGTTGCGGGAAACTCTCTTTGGTACATTTGGGAAAGGCATGAATTTGTCTCTTCTTTCCCAGCTAGAGGTTAAATAGCAGAGTAGACTGGGTTCTTTAGCACTGGGTGTCAGCCCGTCTAAGAAAAAGAAAACTTAGATGTAAAAAAAAGAACGTGGAGGAAGCAATGGGAAACTATTTGCTGTGGCCTTGTTAGGGCCAAAAATAAAGACACAAGAGAAGAACTGAGTTAAACAAGTATATTAGATAATACAAACAAAAGAGTTACCGCAAGAATGTTCGGTTCGACTGTCAGAGCTGACTGCTGGAAACATCCCTCTCCAAAAGGCAGTACCTGCTCCTATTTATAGCTGGGAGAGTCCATGCGTGCGTGGGTAAATTAGCATAACACTATTTCACTGTCATTCACAATCAAGTGTGGCAATATACATATTGTAAATAGCAACATGTGCTGCATCACGATCGCCTACTTCCTGAAAAGACATGGTATTAAAAAAAAGTCTAGCTATCGAGGTCCTTTACCTTGGGTGGCAGTCTGTCTAAGAGAAAGAATATTAAGCATTCCCAACCGGGTAGAAGTCAACAGGAAAATTACTCCATTACGACCATCGCTAAAGATGCTGGGAGAAAAATGGTCGGTTCTCTGTACCGCTCCGGAAAGTACCTGACTCCTTCTACTCTCTTTTACCTCTACAAGAGCCAGATCCGACTCAAAATGTAAAAACTGCTGCTATATATGGGCGGGGGCTACCCAGTCATCAATTTCGATTGAGTCCAAAAGCGTTTCCGCCTCCTTTTGGGGGATGAATTATTTGACGCCTCTTTTCTACAGATGAAACGTTGCAAGCCTCTCGTTGCTCTATTGTTATTTGCATAGAAAGTGCTCAGACGAACTGCATTCCTTAGCTGCGCCAGTTCTAAACTAAACGGCTAAGACCGCCATGCTACGCACATTGCAGCAAACTACCCTTATCCTCCTCGTACGTCATTGGTTTCTTCTCACGAACTGCTGCTTTGTGGATCCGACTCCCATGAGGATGCTTTCTCGATCACTACAATTTTAACCTGTTCATGTCTAGGGTTAACCGTTCAGTCTTTTCCCTTTCACTATCTGTAGCCCCTTGCGTACTAGTGGTAATCCCGCCTTGCTTAGAGTAAAATGCTTTAAAAATATAAAAAAAAACGTGCCTTTTACTCTGTAACTCTACTTGAAGTGGCTCTTGGGCCTTGTACAGGGTGAGAATTTAAAAAAAAATTACCAAAGAAGGCATGCACATGTTAATTCATAGATAATAAAAGAAAAGAATATGCAGAGAGTTCTGATCACCTAAGGGACAGGGCATTTAATAATAATAATAATAATAATAATAAATAAATAAATAAATAAAAACTCCAGAGTTGAAGTAATCATCTGAGAAGCTATTTTATCCGAGGCAACATTGGTTAACCTTGCTGCCAGAATGTAGCATTAGCAGCTGTAGTAGAGGTGATGACAATAATACAAAATGGAAGAAAGCCTTTTCACAGAGGGATAGAGAGATGAAGAAAAATAACGTAAAAAGAAAGGAGAGAGAGAGAGACAGAAAAAAAAAAGAACTCAATCCTTTAAGTAGGAGCAGCAGTGAGGCCTCTTGCGGGTGGAACAGGCGGTAGTGGCGACAGTGGATGAGGCGCGCAAATCATGGTGGCCGCTTGGAAAGTCAGGAGCAAGCACTCCACCAAGTGAGGATTAAAGAGAATAAGTGTGCTTGTGTATGTATGTGTATGTATGTGTGTGTATGTATGTGCGTGTGTGTGTGCGCGCGCGCCTGAGTGCGTGCACACGCGTGAGTGTGTCCAAAAAGTTACACAAAGATAAAATGAATATATATATATATATATATATATATATATATATATATATATATATAATATCGTACAGTAAGTGCTGGTGTTAATAAAATAGGGGAGTTTTCATTCAGTACCTGACGATTGTATTGTGCATGAAACTTAGCGTTGTGCTACAGGTGACGAAATATATATATATATATATATATATATATATATATATATATATATATATATTATTATTATTATTATTATTATTATTACTATCATTACTACTACTACTACTTAAAGCATTATTTATAGTGGATACACGCATTTGAGTAGACGATACGTTTATGCTATTTCGTCTTCCAATCTGAATATTCGATAGGAGATGCAGGTTCGAAAGCTTCCGTAGGGCGCATTTTACTTTAATAAGATATCTCGAATATTCAGGCCAGTAGATGAAATAACATACTGTTTCAAATAAACGAATCGTATATTCAAATATGAATATCCACTATAAATAACGTTTAAAGTAACATTTATATATATATATATATATATATATATATATATATATATATATATATATATATATATATAAAGGCATAAGGAAGGGGTTATAATTGTTCTAACGATAGAAAAGTGTATATTTTAAAGGAGAAGAGAGTAGCCGCAAACGTTTTGCATTAAAAAAACATTTGCGGTTTTTCTCTTCTATTTAATATATATATATATATATATATATATATATATATATATATATATATATATATATATATAATGGGAGGGTCCACTTGAATAATTTTTGTAAAATGTTGTCAACAAGGTCTATCTAGTTATTTATTCTTGTTCAATTTTCGAATAATCTGTTGCACATTCGTTTGAAAATTGTGGATAAACACTACAAAGTAAATGTTTTATTTTGTCTGTGTTCGAGTACTCGCAAAAGGCTTGGTCATTGTCCTAACCAAAATGTAGTCAGTATCGTACAAAACAATTAAAAAAAAACAACAAAAAAAAACGGACGAAAACAATAAAAAATTAAATAGACAGACTCTGTCGGTTGAATTTAATCCAACCTGTTTATATATATATATATAGAGAGAGAGAGATAGATAGATAGATAGATAGATAGATAGATAGATAGATAGATATACAGAGAGTGAGAGAGAAGTGTGTGTGTGCGTTTATAAAAGACGCACCTTGTAGTAATTTTTCTAGTGACACAGCGTACTTGGTGTTGCACGCACGCTTTTGTATACTCATATAATTTATTATATATACACAAATGTTATTGTACATACACAAATGTTATTATATATACGCGCATCATACTTAACATAAACACGGGTATACACCGGGTTCACTTGCGAATATTCACTTTATATTAAAGTTTTTATTTAAACCACTTCGCGGCCTCAATTCAATGCGAATTTGGAATACAGCGCGCGCTCTCGCGGAAAAGTATATAACAACAATATGATAATAGATAAACCTAAGTGAAGATTAATTCTTCTTGTAAAATGACACTTAAATCTCTTGTTTATATTTGGTTGCTTTGTAGAAATTGAAATAGAAATTTCTTTAAAAGATAATAAAATGCAAAGTCTTCTAAGTATTTGGACCTTGCTAGGAAGCTGAGAAAGTTGTAGAACGTTAAAGTAACAGTTGTGCCACTCGTTATGTGAGCGCTAGGAACGTCCTCGAAGAGTCTAGTTAATAGAACTCAATGGGAGAGTTGGAACCACCCAGATAGCAGTATTAATAAAATTCACTTGAGCAGATTTGCTGTCACTTCATCTCCAGTGTAAGCCACTAGTGAATAATAATAATAATAATAATAATAATAATAATAATAATGATAATGATGATGATGATGATGATGATGATAGTAATAATAATGATGATGATGATGATGATAATAATAATAATAATAATAATTGAAGAAGAACAAGAAAAAAGAAAAATACCTTGTGATTTTAAATGCAAAGTAAATATTGGCACGTGCATATAGTTGTTGATATTTAATAAGGAAACTGACGTAAAATGCCGCTACAACAAATCTGGCAAAAGGTCTCAGTAAAAGAGTCATTATATATATATATATATATATTGACAGAGATTATGACGATGGGAACAGCCGAAGGTCAGAGGTCAATAAATATTAGATAAAAAAAAATACAAACTGGTTTTGTTGATATTTGATTTACCAAGTTCAGCTTTGCACGGCACAACGCCACCCTCCACCCTGAAAATAAGTGAAAAGATTGTGTTGCACCGGTATTCTAAGTGAAGGGGGACCGGTTTGCTTGTTTTCCCGCTTTGAAAATCAGCGTTCGAAATGTTATCTTTTTACTTAGATTCGAATACCGATCTTTGGCATCACTGAGGAGAATCTATTTAAGCCACAAGGCAAGCATTATTATTATTATTATTATTATTATTATTATTATTATTATTGTTGTTGTTGTTGTTGCTGACGTTCTTATTATCACAAAGGTAATTTAAAAGAAAGAAGGTAAAAAAGAAAGAAAGCAAGAAATAAAGAAAGAGGAGAGCAAAAAAAAGAAAGAAAGAAAGAAAGAAAGAAAGAAAAAAAGAAAGAAGAGCGTGAGAATGGAAGAGAAAGAATAATACAAGATAGAAAGAAAAAGAGGGATAATGTAAGACAGAAGGAAAGAAAGAAAGAAAAAAAAAAGAAAGAAGAGATTGTGAGAGAAAGGACGATCCAAAAAAAAGAAATATAGAAAAAGGAGTAATAATGTAAGAAAGAAGAAAGACAGACCGTAACTAAATCAATCATTTTTTCCCTCATTCCCACTCAGTACACATGTCTCCGCTTACTACGGATTTTGACTGAGGTCCACAGCGAGCGCGCGTATGCAATTTTAAATCCAATACATGAAGTTAAGGTGTCCCCACTTGTATGCCGATGGAGACGCCAGTGTTGTTTGCGTGCTTTCAATTCCACAAGGGTTTTTCCCTTCTTCATCTACAGAAATAAGAATCTATGCTTGGAGAAAGGGATTCTCATTTACTAAACTGCCATCATCCATTGTAAGTAAAACACACTTAAAAACAACAAAAAAAAATTATCCACCCCAAAAATTTTACGTATTTTTTAAATTTTTTTTTTTTTTTGAAACCGGCTGGAATAAATTACTGCAAATCAAATTCGATATAAAAAGGTAAAACATATAAAAAAAATTAAATTTATATATATATATATATATATATATATATATGTCCAAGAATCAACATGTAGGATTTAGGTGAATTTTCTTGAAAAACGTGGGAGAAAAAAAAAAAAAAAAAACGAAAAAAAAAGTTAATCTTAAAAGGCCGCTTTTTTTTTTTTTTTAAAATCTTTCAAATTGTTTGTTTTTTTTTGTTTTTTTTTAATGGGATTTATACATTTTACTAAATTGTATTTATTGTAAAATGAAGTTAGTTATAAAAATCCAAACCATTTAAAAGTTTCTGGTATTTAATTTCTTCATTATTTCTTCTTCTTACCGACTATCCAATATTCGATATAATCCACGCGATGTCATGAAAGCAAACGAGATTCTCACATTGTTACAAGCACTCACGTGTAGCAGTTTGATGGCACAGAACGTAAATTTTTCCACAATTAACAAAATACACAACAAAAGAGAGGTTTACATGTACTCGTCCGATTTCTTTAAATATAGTTTATAAAACAATATTTAAAGAAACACCTTAATGTTTGTTCACTTGTAAAACTACATGAAGAGTTTTTTTTTAACATATTCAATGATAAATTTATTTCGAATAACTACATAATTTCATGTTTTTTTAATGTTTTTATTCATATATTTTAAAATAAATTAATGTCACTCATACGACATTGGTATTATTATTGTTTACAAACCTAATTAATACATTTACACTTTAAATTAATTAACACATATCAATTGATGATTCTTTATATTTTAAAATTAACTTCATGTCTCCTTTTTTTTCTTACATCTCAGAAATGATTTTTTTTTATTTTAGGGCTCCCACTTTTTTAACTATTACAGACATACCACTACGAACACTACTAAATCGAACACAACTACTACTACTACTGTTTCTACCACTCTCACTAGTCTACTTAGCCCCCTCCCTTTACCACAACTGTTGTTATTATATTCTTTTTTAGAGCGAGAGGGGTTGTGGGCTGGTGTGATTTTTCTAGTGTGATTGTATGAGCAGGCTTGCTACTGCCATCCTGCCCACCTCGTTGGTCGGCGGCAACCCCATCGCCCGGCAAAGTCGGCTCATTCACCAGTTTAGATTTGTCTTCTGGTTCGCGTAAAACGTTCAGAAGCTAAGCTCACCTGTTCTGTCTGTCTATCTATCTATCTATTTATTTCGGCACTAAGCGTCTTCACGTTTCTTTTCTTTCTCTTCGTTTTCTTCTTTCTCTTTTATTTCACCCACTCTCTTGCACAGACTTTTTCGATACGTACCACCCTTTCTCCTAGCCTCGATTTACCTGCCTCTCTCTCTCTCTTTTTACTCAACATATTCCTCGCCTACCTACCTGTCTCGTGTGGTTTTATCCTAGTAGGTATCGAACTCTTAAGTTAAATTCATTTTCTCTTAATTTAACCAGCAATTCACTTTCTACTCTGTACTCTGCCTTTATTCGATTCATCTTTACATAAAAACTAATATATATATACATATATAAGAATATATATATATATATATATGCATATATATATATACAATTCTTTTTACTTAACTATCTTTCTGTTGCGATCTTCCCTTTTTCTTTCCTTCTTTTACCTCTAGTTTTCTTTTCTTTTTATGTGAACAACAGCAGTCATCATGGGATTTTATCTCTACCTCTGTTCGGCGCTTTTCGGGTTGATATTTGCGACATCTTTATACCCGGCTGTAACTTCTAGGAGTACTTTGTCAGATTCATCGACATTATCGTCATTCGATTTTTCATCGGAACTTTCATCGGATACATCGTCGTCTGTCTCATCTAAATCGTCATCTCCGAAAGATTTTGCCATCATCCAGACCAACAGTTACGGCGAACGTGACATCCGGGTAGTACTGGGAAGTGTCCGTTTGCACGTTTTGTCCGTCCCATCGGACACTCGTTATCAGCTCGAACTGCGACGGACGTCCGACCGGCGCCACTATGTCAAATCCGTGTACAAAAAAGGATTACTTCGTGATTGCGAGTTTACAGACAATGCAACAGACATTGCAGATTTTGCGTCGGAATTTAAACCCCAAAGTTTTGAGGCGTCAACGAAAGTCTATCCGATATACAGGCACGGATGGGCTCACAAGAAAAAAGAAAAAAAATTCAAGTCGGGCGGTTGGAAAATAAAAGCGACTCAAGATGGGCACTCAAACCACCATAAGAGGAAAAACATTAATTACAACCGCTATGATAAACAAAATAACGTTTCCAAAGGAAAAACTATTACACTGGGCAAACACGGGACGGCTCGCCATAGACGGTACAGACAGACTGCCGGTTACGTTCTCCAGATACCTTATGAACGTAATGAGTCGGAATCAAAATTCATGAGGCTAAATGCAGAAAATTCTGATCGGAATCTTAAACCATTACCTTATGCTCTGCTTTTTGACGCCAATGACATAGGAAGTTTTAAGCCAAACGAAAAAAATGCTTACTTGAATTTACGGATTAACCCAAGATCTGAAACACGGGCTTGCCGGCTCTTGTATCGTCGTGTGAAGCGACAAGCGAGATACAGTCGAGTAAGACGGGATCCTGGCCATAAGGCCGCCCCGTACAAAATCGCCGATAGCCAGGGATTACCGGAAAATACGAATAGAAGAAAGCAGGAAGCAAGACCACAAAAAGCACCAATACCGGCCAATTCGCAAAGTCTAGGCAGGCAAATTACCACAGTAAACGACAGCCAAGAGGCTCCTAACCATAAAACACCTTTAAATCACCCACATCGCCATCAGCATCATGAAAACCAACATAGCAAACCTTACGTATCGGTTGCTTCGCGAACTCCAGTACTGACCCCGCCGCATCGAACGGCGGCGTCTAATCTGACCGTGGTCGCTGGTCACGTCAAAGAACGTCAAATAAGCAATCCGGGTGGCCGGAGACGTAGCCGGCGTCAGCTGAACGGCATGCTGATATACCCGGGTACCAAGTGGTGTGGAAACGGGAACACGGCCGAGGCGTTCGACGACCTGGGCTCCGAGGCAGCAGCAGACATCTGCTGCCGAGAGCACGACTACTGTCCGTTTACTATTGAGAGTTTTACACGCCGCTTTAACTTGTTCAATTACAGACTGCACACGCTCTCACATTGTGAGTGTGACTACCAGTAAGTAAGACAGCCTTTGGCTTTTTTTTTTATTTCCTATTATCAGTATTGCAGATGACATTATGGTCTGGAGAGTCTGAGTTTAATTATTTTTTCACTTGTTAAAAAATGTGTTACCCCTGGATATAGTTCGATCCACGCGAGAAATCTGTAATTTCTTCAAACATTACGTTTTGAAATTTTTACTCGGTGTCTTTGTAAGGGACCTTTGGTTTCATTTTTCAGGTTTCATGCAGCTTGCATCCTCATGTTAATTTGATTTACCCTTAGACGTTTAAATATCAATAACATTATGGAACCTTTAAATTTCTTTCTTTATTCGAATATCTACAAACTGATAATACTCACGATAAGCTGTTGCTTGTTCCGTTTAGAATAACTATGTAATATTACGGGAAAGACTGCTTTATCCGGATGAACATTTTAATCACTTATCTCTGACGGAAGAAACAGAGCGACAAATAATTCAACCTGTTGCCTGTTGAGTTCAATCCTAGGGCCGGGCACAGTTTTTTTTTTTTTTTCTTTATCTTCAATTCGAAAAACGTAAATAATCTGTGGACCAGTTTTACAGATTACGGTGTAAAGACACACGCATATATATATATATATATATATATGTGTGTGTGTGAGAAAGAGAGAGAGAGACAAAATATCGTTTTAAAATATTTTATGGTATCCTATGTTTATGGGTAAAAGTTTCCGGTCATGTGTAAATGCAGTGCAAGCGTGGAAACTGAGGCGATTGTCCCGTTTTAGACTTGAACCCAATCTTCAGGCCTGAAGATCGCGTTCAAGCATGAAACAGACTGTTGCCACTCGGTAATGAGCTTAGTGTCCATATATATATATATATATATATATATATATATATATATATATATATATATATATTCCATTTACAGTAACATTCCCTGGCGCTAATACATCAATAAAATCAATAAAATAAATATAACGATGATACAGAACGATAATTGTTGTCCAGCTTTAGGTCTAGGATAGGTACTATACATTGGTAAGAGAAGTATGTGTTCGAACCCTGTTAAAAACAGGATTTCGAACGCTGATGCTCAAGGTGCATAAGTAGGCCCTCTCATACTTGAAAGTTTGGCATAACACAGTCTTTTTTTCCTATTTACATACTTATAACGTTTTATTCATGAAGACCCCCCCACATATATATATATAAATGGCTGATCAGATAACTGAAGCTCGATTCAATGAACCGAGTTCAATTTCAGGTCTATTCTATTTTGTTTATGTCTCATTAATGCGCTCGAAAAAAAAAAAACAATCCATCTTTCTCCAAATATAATTCAAATGACTGGAGTGACTGGCCTTTGATAGCGGATGTGAGGATGGTGTAATGGATAGTGAATCAAAATGGGATATAGGAGAGCCTAGTCAGTGACGATTCTACGGTGGGAGACAGAAGGGGCCAATGTTACCCCCCCCTCGAATTTTGGCTAGCCCCTCGGTTGCCCCCCACCACCACCACTTTTCTAAGTTTTGTAGAGGAACAAAAATCAGAGCAGACAAATTACACTGTTCTACTAGTATTGACGTTAGTATTAGCATTTTGATTTTGTTTTGAAGTTAACCTCTCTTGTGGTCCAACAGCTTGAGAAGTGGAAAAGAGGGAAAGAATAGATTAGAACTCCTCTACTACGAATGAAAAGTTATTCCGTTTCATTTAGTGGAGTAACATACTTATACTAAAACTCATTCCTAAGTTCTGTATACGATAGTGGTGTACTATGAAAATAAAGACGCTGCTTGAATTCCCCCCACTACCTCATCCGCAGAAAAATCTCGGCTCACCAAGTGCCCTCCACCACCAAACACTTTCAGAGTTCCAGAATCATCACTGGGCCTAGTTCAAATTCGTCGAGTTCGTTAAATTTGCTTACGCACAAATACACCTTGGAAATATACGAACCCATTTTATCCCCCAGCTATGGGTTAAATAGTAGGATTTCTTATCTTTGTTATTATCAAAAAGTTGTTAACGCAATATTCATTTGTAAGAAAAAAGCAATTATTTTTACATTACAAAATATGTTTCGGCTTTAAATAATCCACAAAGTGTTGATGAGCCGTAAAAAAATACAAATCTAATCAATCAATGAATTCCCTTGTGCATCATCCAGCCTAGGAGAAGGAAAACTCTGAATTCAAATTATATCTTTGAGGAGTGGTTTAAGTTTAAGGACATGTATTGTCCGTAATGTTGATATTATTCCAGAGAGGTTAAAATCCTTGATAATAAACATGAGGTGTGTTTTTATTTTTACTAAATCTTAACCCAATACAAGGCCCTAAGGCCACTCAAGCTATAGGGTTACTAAATGAGGTTGCTATATAGACATGTGAGGAAGGGATCAAACGCAGTTCAGATTATTAGGATAGGTACGATAAATAACGTTTGACCGTAAACTTGAAGAGGTCACCAAATTCACATGGTTTGTGAATTTGGTTATTCAGTTCAATCCAGACAGTGTGTACTTGCACTCAATGAAAACGAGACAGCGATAACAGACAATTACTAAATGAATATAAAATATATCCCTACATATGAGCAGTAGAACGAGAAAAGTCTACTACCGCAAATTAAATAACAGGTTCAATTCAAAATTACCTGTAGATTACCCAGACCTGATGATAGCCGGAGGGCACAACAGCCGAAACGTTGTGATAACAACAATGAAGATAAGAACGACAGTTTGAATATAAATATTATGAATCGAAAAGGGGTTGTTTAAATTTCTGGGGCACATAAGGAGGAAAGAGTGCTTGGAGAATTTGGCACTCACAAGTCATACTGATTGTAAGAGGAAAATTACGAGTAACCTACTATTGGTAAAATGGGGAACGGGAGAGATTTATAGAAAGACATATTGCTAAGAGCTATAAAGGGTAGGAAGTTAGGGAGAGCCATTATCACCCATATCTTAAAGGTATATATCAGTGATCTCGATTCTTGAAAGTGTCCCAAACTTGACATGAGTAAATGATAACTAAGGCTTGCCATCAAGCAACGATGAATTTCTTACAAGTCATTCCGAGGAGTACGATCCTTACTGGGTACTTCCTTATGCTGGCCTTGGGCCAGCTTATGTCGAATCTTGACGTATGTCAATGTAGGGACAGAGATCAATGGTTAGAAAAGCAATATCATTGAATAGCTTAACGATCTTGATGATCCCTGAGTGCTCTCTTATTGCGTGCCAGAACTAATATTTATAATTGGCCTATAGACTAAACGTTTATGCCTTTTAGAACTGATGTTTATACTAACCGAATGTTGGATCTTGTATAGAGGTACCCGGAGGAGATCGAAAACAGTAGTCACTAGTAATGGTCAACTAGGCTAGATTGACTAAACAGCAAACTCACACTGAGGCGCTTAATCTTGAGATTGATTGTCACATCCTGTTGAGTTATTTCATATGTGACCCCCCAGTGAGGATCGAACTCAGTACTCAGTAGTCATGGTCAATCAAACTAGATTGACTGCCGTGTCTCTATTAGAACCGCGTCATGAACTAACAGATCTTCTTTTCTTTGTTTACGATGACCAGAGCTGGTGTTGCTATATGGAGGAGATCCGTTCAAAATTTCGTATATTAATATTTTGTCTGTTTTTGAAAACTGTTTCTGATTAGGGCACATTTCTTCTTCTTCTTCTTCTTTCGCCTTACCCTCGGAAGCAGTTGTCCTGAGCTGTCCATCCTTCTCCTCCATCTGTCGCGGAGACCCAGTCTCCGCGAATGGTTTCTTAGTCTGGTCATCATGTGCCGATTGTTGGGCGTTTTAAACTGTCGGAGCCCATCCTTTTTCTAGGTTAGGCCACAGCCGATGTCTTCCAACTGGTTAGTTGGCTTGCCTAAATCGCGAACGCTGTAGAACCCTTACGCTCTGGCCAGTGACCTGCGTTGTGGAGGGCCATCGCCCAGTACTGCAGTGTTAACACCATTCCCTCACGTAAGTTTAACCCGCCAGCTAAAGCGGTTTACTAAGGCATGGCAATCAGGTGAGCTATTTAGGAGATTATTGAGGACCAGTGATACCCGTCCACCCGAAGGTGCAGCGTGCCAGACATCAAAGATACTATCTCTAGCCAAACCTCCTTATGTCCCCTATATATATATATATATATATATATATATATATATATATATATATATATATATATATATATATATATATATATATATATATATATATATATATATTACACTGGAAAGTTGAGTGAACAGTTAGTCATCAAATGTACATATAACATTAATCAAATGACTAACACCGGTTTTTGCCTGGGTCGGGACCGACTCTTGTCGCAATAAAACAATCACGAAATTGGTTTATTTTGGACTGTTGTGTTTTATTTTATTATACACCTTAGCTGGGCTATTTATTATTTATCGGACATATATTATTACAATGACGTTCACAGTGAGGATCAAACTCATTGCTCACTCGTAATGGTCACCTCCACCCTCGCAAGTGTTGTAATGGATATCGGCTCGGAATAAGTAATCGGAGAGCCGAGTTCATATTCCAGTAGAGTCTGCTACATTCACTTACGCGCAAATACCGTTGAAAAAGGTAAATGTCCAGCTCTTTTCCCCTAGCTATGGGTTAAATATAAGGTTCTATAGTCTTTGTTGACTGTCTACAGCAGAAACTAACCGTAGCCTAATGTCGGAGTTCCTCTGCTAAATCAGTCGATGAATCGGAAAGATGATCAGCCAAACATGCATCTAAGGAAGAAAGGTATGTTCAATCAAACTAATCACGCCCACCATTGCCAATAATAGAAATCGATTAAGAGATTAACAATTTCATAAGGATTTCCTTGATATTTTGTTCGAAGCTGTACTTAACGACATGGCTACCCCGCCTCGGACACATTTTAGCGTCTTGGTTTATTTAGTATGATACCCGTAAAAAATGATAGGTCTATTTATGTATGGATCAGCACACCTACCTAGTCTCAAAATAACC